CTATGCCCGTGTTTTGTTGACCTGATACAAATGTTTACCATCCAAAAATAGCTGGGGGCACAGGTCTCTGGTACTGTTATTTTGTGGGCCAAAAGCTGAAAAGTTTGGGAACCATTGCACTTTAGTTCCCAAAGTTGGACTTGGGACCCAATTATGGGTCATGAAGCACCTTGGAGAATCTGCAGAAATCAATTTAAAGGGTAATAAATTAATTGCTAATATAATATTTTCCCTATACCTATTGCAAAAACACAAAATAAGTATATATAAGCATTTGTATTTGTGTACAAGTTGTTTAGATTGTCAAAAAGCCTGTGTTTTTAGAGTTATTAACAACGTTTGTGTCCTCAGACCAGTAATATTTGGGGTCACAAGTTTTTGCCATGGATATTTTGTGGGTCAGAAGATAAAAAGTTTGGGAACCACTGGGCTACATGACCTCCAAAAATATTAAACAACTAATACAAATAAGCACAGATTTTAAAAAAAAAAGCAGTTCAATAAGGGATTAAAGAAAGTTTACTTTATGGTTAGTCATTTTTTTTTACACATTTCCTTTCATATTCTCTGGTATGATTAATTATTTTAGGCACAGCAGCCTAAAGTCTGAGCATGCACATATGACAGTAATGTTTTGTAGCAGCGACCTTTCAAACTCACATGGTTCCTAATAACATATTACAGACTTTTTTTAAATGGTACAGTGAAGTGTTCTAATACAAAATAAAATCATTTTAAAAGATAACACAAACACCTTAAAACAATAACAAGATGAAACAAAAGAAAAAATTGTTTTGGGAGACCTTGCTTTGGACTGCTGGATATGGGCACCAGTGACCCCCGTGGCCCTGAAAGGAAGAACAGGGTTTATAATGGATGGATGGATGGATGGATGGATGGATGGATGGATGGATTTGTTGTTTTTCTGTGTTTTATGGTAAATTTTCCATGTGCAGACTGATTGTGCATGCCTGCCTAAAATTTTAATGAACTGAACGATTAAACAATAAAAGAGCTATTTATATTTTTTGGCAAATGCATAAAATTGTGTAAATTAAAATCATGTTGAAAATAGTTGTTACAAAAAATATTTTTTACAAAAAAAAAAACTTCAAATTGCACTTTCTATTATAGACCCCTACGTTTATTGTTAAATTTTTAATAAAATGTAAAAAAAATCACTTTCACATTTTTATTATGTATAGCTCACTTTCTGAATGAAACATAAAACAATTTTCACTGTTTTATTATTATTTAGTTCACTGTTTTTACATTTTGCTAATTTTTACTAAATGTTAAATTTAGACGTTAAATGTTATTTCTAAATGTTAAATCTTAAATTTAAATGTGTAAATTTTAAAGTAAAAGTTAAATGTTGTGGATAAATATTGAAGTTTACATTTAAGAATTCCATAATCGAACGTAGCTTTGCCATTGGTGCTCAGTATTTGTGACATCATCATCTGGAGACAAAAGCAACTGCTAATGCTGCTAACACTGCTAGCTTTGCTAACGCTACTGAATATGGCATTATATGGCATTTAAATTTTAAATTCAAAATGTGTCCATTGAAAACATTAAGTATGGTACCTGTGGTCCGTCATCTTGAAGTGCAGCTCGAACACCGGCCCCCGCTGCAAGCTGATGTCTTGTAGAGAAGCGTTGGCAGAGTTAGCATTTGCTTTTGTCGCAGGATGATGACATCATAACAACGGCCGCGCCAAAAGCAAATGCTGCATTCCACTCTGAAACACGTAAAAGCAAACTTAGCCACAATATTTAAATGTAACTTTTACATTTTGATTTAGGATTCAACATTTAGTATTTTATTCATAATTTATTTTTACAGGGACCATAGCTACAACAAAATATTATCACCCACAGATATCCTACAGCATACACAATGCTTATAGCTAAAAGCTAATTTACAGCCCTTTTCCCTACAATTTACACAAATAAAATACATTAAAATACATGTCCAGATTAAGTTTCAGTGTTCAGTGTTGTTCTTTTAACCAGAAGGCTACTTCAGATTTTGTTGTAAAAGGTCTCATGTTTGACTAAAGTATAATACCATATACCATACCAACTTTATTTATAAAGCACTTTAAAACAACCACAGCTGATACAAAGTGCTGTACATTAAAACAACAACATAATAAAAAAAGTGATTAAAAACGGTTTAAAAACAAAAACATACAATTTAAAAACTAGATCCCGCTGGTGTTGAAAGCCAAGTAAAATTAATGGGTTTTAAGACGAGCTTTAAAAGTGGACAGTGAAGGGGCCTCTCTGACCTGCAAAGGCAAGTCATTCCATAATTTAGAGTCGATGACAGAGAAAGCCCTGTCCCCTCTGAGCTTCCTTTTTGTTCTCGGTACCTCCAAGAGCAGCTGATCTGCTGACCTGAGAGACCGATAAGGTACGTAGGGATGAAGAAGCTCAGAGAGGTGAGCCGGGGCAAGATTATGCAGTGATTTAAAAACAAACATAAGAATTTTAAAATGAATCCTAAAATATACAGGCAGCCAGTGAAGTGAGGCCAGGACAGGGGTCATGTTCCCTCTTCTGAGTTCCTGTCAAAAGTCGTGCAGCAGCATTCTGAACCAGCTGCAGACGTGAGAGCAGTGACTGACTGACTCCCAGGTAAAGAGAGTTACAGTAATCCAAACGAGTTGAAATAAAAGCGTGGATCACTGTTTCAAAATGCTGCCTGGACAGAAAAGATTTCACTGACACCAATTGCCTTAAATGATAAAAGCTGGACTTAACCACGGCTTTGATTTGGCTGTCCAATTTAAAATCACTGTCCACCTTAAAACCAAGATCTGTAACAACAGGTTTAAAATATACCTCCAAGGGTCCCAGGTCCACAGAGGAGGACTCACAGGAGCCACTGCGTCCAAACACCATCACCTCCATTTTGTTTTCATTAAAATTTAAGAAGTTCAAGGCCAACCAAGCTTTAATATCTCCCAGACATGCCAGGAGATGTTTGATGGAATGGACATCCTTCTGCTTCA